TCTCTCTCTCTCTCTCTCTCTCTCTCTCTCTCTCTCTTTCTTCTTTTCTTTCTCTCTTTCTCTCTCCCGCTCCCTCTCCCCCTTTCTCTTTCTCTCCTTTTCTTTGCCTCCATCCCTCTCTTCCTCTCTCATTGAATTTAGAATATTGGTCACAACTTTGATTTTACAGGAAAGGGCCCTTTAAAGGAGCACTATACCAAATTGATTTCGAACAAGGTCTTCCAGCATGTAAAGTTCTGCACACCATGGCTGAGTGCAGAAGATTATCCAAAACTGCTCGGTAAGAATCAAGATAGAAAGTCAGTTGTTGTACCAGTCAACGATTTTACAAACACTTTCGGCAAACTATTCAGCAAATGCATGTCGATTTTATTTGGTTTATTGTCTTGATTTAGATTAAATCGTTTTAACAATCGCATTAGTGGTAAACAGTCCAAGCAATTCTTAGAGCGAATGATCAAGATTTAGTCCAAATGGTGGTCCAACAGGTCAATTCCATAGTTCTCGTCTGTACAAATTTATCACCAAGACTAAATAACAATGCTATGCTATAGCATGTTACAAATAAAAGTGAAATTTCTTAGTAGACTTTAAACCAACATTTGCTTCCATACTGCGCTTTGTGCACCTTTTGGGTGTTCGTCTGCACTGGGTATCATTCAGTTTTTCAACAATGCTTTCATCAGTCTTGAGAATAAATCGGAGGAGAATGTTAATATATTCTAAAACTAGGTGGCAGCACCGTTTGTAAAGAGCACCTGAAATGACTTACTGCGTGATTGCAGCCTGCGCAGATCTCGGTGTGTGCCTACACACCTCCTCCAGTGGTCTCGATCTTCCCATGAAGGTTGTGGACATGTTTGGAGTTGGGCTACCCGTGTGTGCTATTCAGTTTAATTGGTAAGTGAAACACAAAATATTTAGTCCGATTTTAAAAGACGGTGCCAATTACAACTGCTTGTTCACGTACTTACAGTTCTATTGCATGTGGCTCATGACTACAGACTGTTGAGTATGTGTGAAACCTTTCAAGTTACTTGCACTTTCAGCCTCAATGAACTCGTCAAACATGAGCATAACGGACTGGTTTTCCAAAACGAAAACGAACTGTCCGCCCAACTGCAGGTATGCACTTGATGTTATCCACATCAGCATACGTTCATAGAAATATTTTCGATAGTGTACGATTTTACAGGTGATATGAATTATGAAATTCACGAACCAAATGGAGCAAATATAATTTTACTATAATAAAATTTGTAAGACGGCACAAACAGCACCTAGCCGCATCGGTTTGTCAACTTTCAAAGATCCGACGATCTCACGCGTCATTTTTAACCGTCTGCTCGCCAGGAGCTGCTGTCGAACTTTCCCGATTCGTCGGAGAAGCTGCGCAGGTTGCGGGAGAACGTGGTGGCGTTCCAGGCCGTCGGCTGGCACCAGAGCTGGCGCCTCGCCGCCTACCAGCTGTTCGGAGGAAGCTGAACACAGGGGGCGCTGCGTCAGACGTCCACTCACAGGGTGCGCTGCGTCAGACGTCCACTCACAGGGGGCGCTGCGTCAGACGTCCACTCACACGCCGTCGAATCAATTTGCTCGAGAACCGATTAGGCCGTGACGGTAACGGTCGACGCCTTGTCGTCATCGTCGGTGGATTTCGTGAGACCGTTAAGATGTTACCGTGTTATATTGTGAGACGTAGTGTATACTTCGTCAGAAGTGGATTTTACGAGCGAGGTGACAAAGTTATGTGGGTGTCTCACTAGTATTACGAGTATTAAGTGATAAAGTGATGAGTTATTTACACGAGTATTAAGTAATAAAAGTTTAAAGTTTTCACTCTAAGAAAGTTCACTTTCTCACAAGAGTGACAAAGTTATGTCACTCTTGTCTTAATGTCAGTTCCTCTCATGAGGAAATATGACAAGCTTGGTAAACATCGGACGAATTTTCGTTTCGGAAAACCGGTCGCACGGCAGCGGCAATCGCCTCTCCGCTGTTCAGCATGGTTTCACACAGGACTTGTGACATTGGAATTAATTGTGGTATTAAATAATCAGACCTACTTTACTTCAGGACTTGTGACGTCAAGCTACGAAATAGTCGTATCGTTGACAATCATGAGTGTTCAACCATGGAATTAATTGTGGTATTTAGTAAACAGATTTACTTTAACAACTTGCTCTGTTCACGTTATCATTGCTGTGGGGGTGTTAGTAATAATATCAGATGCACGTAATCAAGGGTTTATGTGCTTTTGATAATAGTAATATGTTAAAATAAAATTTCCCTTAACACAATGCTTCCTGGAGTACTACTATCAACACAGTTTAACCAAAAACCATCCACTTTAAACTCATTTATTTCTAACGCAATGTACGTTAACAAAGTATGTACAATACAATAACAACTCTATCCGATGCGATTCATGACAATTGCCTACGTGGACACAATGCCGACAGCAGCGGTTAGGTGAGGAATCTCCAGCAAGGTTGTTCTTCTAAAGCGTTTGCATTCGAATATGTCATTACGCACAAAGCAAACTACAAGCATTCGTGTTTTTGATAAACAGCGCAGTGTTCTCATTGGAAAATCTCGCGTCGCGACAGTTCTGATGGTGCGGGATCTCTCTACATGTCGTCCGCGCTCGTTCGCGGGTCCTTCACCTCTTTCCACTTTGGATCGTTCGGCCTCATCACTGCAGAATTCAAACAAGACAGTACCGTGTTAACGAAATAGAGCAATGATTAAATAACTTCATCGGATCTCTATAATTTACATGCTAATAACATTAATCTCAGTTAGATCCATAATCAGTAC